GTTGTTTTCAGCGTAAGCCTGTGTGCAAAGTCTGTCTAATGCTAAACATTCAAATACATTTATTTTTTGTTTATTAGTAATAGTAAATTTAAATAAAACTGAAAAAATAATGAAAAAGCAATTATACAGTTACACACCTAAAATACATATATCAAGAGCATGCTCACAGATGAGAACAAAACAGCGTTGGATGAAGTAGATTAGAGCCCTGTACGGGCCTCAAATATAGGCCCTAGCGCGTCTTTTTTCCCCTTTTCCCCAAAAAGTACTACTGTTTCAGCTATTAAAATAGTTCAGTTTTGTATGCAATGGAAAAGTGATTATATTTTGTTTCGTTGTTTTATAAAGTAAATTTAGAAAAACATTTGTAGTATTTTTTGTTCGTTAAATGTACGTTTTTTAGTTTTTTTAAGTAAGGGCCAGCGGCAGACAGTGCATTGATCATAGCCTATAGCCTATGTTTGATCAATTTAGCCTTCTCAAATCATCAGGACTTGCCTAAAATGAAATCTATATATAAAACAGTTCAAATATATCACAATGTTAGTTTAAATGTTTAACCTAGATAAATGTGTGCTGTTAGACGTATATCCAATCGTTTGTGGAGAGTGGAAGCTGAAGCTCTGCAGGACGCGGAGGCGCCAGCGCGATCACTTCATTTTTTTCTAAAAGTGGAAACAACTTAAAATACGCAGTCATTTTTGCTCATAAAGGTAAGAGTAATACATCATTCTAAACTGTAAAGGGTCTACTTTTATATGTGTGCACTCAAAATATCAACAAAACGTTGTGCTTTTATAAAATAAAGAAAACAAACGCTTTCTGCCGTCTCGGTCTTGAACAGGAGTGCTTCACAATGATGAACCTAAACTCAGACAATTACTACTTTAAAACGAAATAATTCAAATCGAAAATAGACTCCTAATAAAATAAACTCTTTCATTATGTAATCCCTGCATTTCTCTCTAAAGGCACTTTCAATTAGGAAATGGTCGAGTCATTTTTCATCACTATAATTGATGGAAGGCCTGATTATAATTTGCGTTTTATTTTATAATTCCATACAGTTAAAAAATAAAACACTAATTATAATGGCATATATGTAAAACTTTGTCCTATAATTGTATAGCTGCTTTTTCTGATTTTTATGTTGCTCTGTTCTGAATACCTTAAAATTTAAAGGATTTGCTGCAACGCAATTTTGTATGATATGTTAATTATTTATATTTTTTATCCATGCAGTAAATGCTTTAAAAAACAGCTTTAAAATTACTTTATTGCATTCCAGATGCTTTTAGTACCAAGTACTTTTCACTGTAAATTTTACAGGCAGCTGGAATGTAAACATTGTGATTAATTCGTTGTATTCCCATTTGTGAAATAGCCAACAAATTAATTGTTGTAGGCTAAGCCGTAACACTGTAAACAGCAAACGTTCGCGTGTCCGCGCTTAATGCGCATATCCTATATGGAAAGCATTTTAGGGGGCCCTTGGCTTTTGGGGGCCCACGGCAGTCGCCTACCTTTGCCTAATGGGTAAGTCCGCCCCTGCTTTCATAAGCCTCACATTTTTTAAGTACATGTTCTACAGTTTCTGTTAACCCACATATGTCACAATTTCCATTTTTTGTTTTCTTATTCTATGTAAGCACTGATTTAATAAACAATGACCAATACGCATTCTTGCTATTATAACGTCCTCTTTCCTGTTTCCAAATCCTCTTCTCTCTGAACCAACTTTTTCTTGTATGCAGTGTAAATGTCTACCTTTTGTTCCCTTTATGCTTATCCAGTACTTCATCCTTAACTTGAGCCTACGGATTTCTTGAGGCAACTCGCCCATCTCTACACGAACTGCTGATAATGGGGACGATCTAAAAGCTCCGCAACAAATTCGCATTGCTTGTGATTGTATTGCCTGTAATTTTAAAAGTTGTGTTTTAGATGCAGAGCTATATACCATACTGCCATAATCAAGAGCCGATCTTATCAGAGCACAGTAGGGCTGTCAAAATGGCTGGAAAACTAAATTCGAATTTTCTACTTAAATATAATCAAAATTCGAAATATATTCGAATTTAAAATTCATAATTTCAGTTAGGGAGAAGAAAAGCTTTTGGCTTCTCTTCTGAGGCCACAAGAGGGCACATCGAGCAAAATATTACTAATGCACGTTTATTCAGTAAGATAACATGACTGTGAAAAAAACTGCATAATGTTTAAAATAATATTTATAAACCATATATAATTAATTAAGTTGCTTAAACAACTATAAACAAAACAGCATCATGTATGTATGTATGTATGCATAGTTTAATACAAAGGCGGAAACCAATCACACAGAGTACATTTGTCATTTAAAAACGACGCAGTGGGATGGAGGAAAAAAACGCCATAAAGTCTAGATATATGTGTTGTTTTTTTAAAAGTTAAACTTACATTAATTTTACATGCGGCTCTTTTGTGCGAGATGCGAGTGCA